AGCTGAGAACTCACCTGGTTCACCAGAGGCCTTTCCATGAGATACTTTTGTATCCTCAAGGCATGGTGCCTAGGTTTTAAGAATAAGCATAAGCATCCCAAGGGACAAGAAATGACCGCTGCCATTTAAAAAAAAAATTATTGGGGGCTTTAACATCTCTTATCACAATCCATCCATTCATCCATTGTGTCAAGCACACTTATACATATGCTGCCATCATCATTTTCAAAGCATTTCCTTTCTACTTGAGCCCTGGGTGTCAGCCCCTCATTTTCCCTCTCCCTGCCACCCTGCCCGCCCTCATGATACTTTGATAATTTATAGATTATTATTTTCATATCTTACATAGTCCTCTGTCGCCCTTCACCCACTTTTCTGTTGTACATCCCCCTGGGAGAGGGTTATATGTTGATCTTTGTGATCAATTCCCTCTTTCTCCGCCTGCCTTCCCCTTATCCTCCTGGTATCTCTATTCTCATTGTTGGTCCTGAGGGGTTTATCTATCCTGGATTCCCTGTGTTGTGGGCTCTTGTCAGTAGCAGTGTGCATGTTCTAATCTAATCCAATTTGTAAAATAGAATTGAGATCATGATAGTGGGAGGAAGGAAACATTAAAGAACTAGAGGAAAGTTGTGTTTCATCGGCGCTATACTGCACCCTGACTGGCACATATCTCCTTGTGGCCCTTCTGTGGGGGGATGTCCAATTGTCTACAGATGGGCTTTGGGTCTCCACTCCACACTCCCCGCCCCCATTCACATTGGATATGATTTTGTTCTGGGTCTTAGATGCCTGATACCTGATCCCATCAACACCTCATGCTCACACAGGCTGGTGTGCTTCTTCCATGTGGGCTTTGTTGCTTCTCAGCTAAATGGACACTTGTTTATCACCATCTTCATGGTCAAGTTATCACAGAAGATAGATTAAGAGAAAAAAAACCTTAGCTGCTCTTAATAGGAAGAGGATAAATAAGGGTCATATTTTAAATCCCACAAAAAATTACACTGCTGTGAATACGTACGATGATTCTTGTTTCTATCATCTGGATGCTTTGTGGGGGGGAACAAAACAAAGGAAATTCTTGCTAAGAGAAGTATTTAAAAGTTATGCATTTAAAAACAAATTGAATCAACACATTTTCCATTGGTTGATGATGTCATCTTTTATGAGAAGTTACACATTGTAAACTGCTACTCCCCTGATGACCCAGTGTTCTTGTGCCCTTTGCCACATTCTAAATGTTAATATCCACCTTTTAAAAATCTATGAATAAGCAATTTCCTATCAATGGATCTTGTTTATCCCAAGCAAAAATTATAATTCTCATGCAACAAACCTGGCTAACATTGTCTGCAGCATCAGTAGAGGGTAGGTTTATGTTAACTAGATATGGAGTTTTGTCTTGTTCATTTTTTTATTCTGTAAAATTTATAAACCTTAGGAACTGAAGCAAAGGTAAGGATAGAAACTTTAGGGAGGCCCTGAACCAGTCTGACTGCTTTGGAATGTTACAGCCCACTAATTACCTGAAGAAACTCCCCTTTGCTTATTAAACTGATTTTCCAAATTTGAGTAAAAGAGATCAGTCACAAGATTAGTTGTGGTCTACCGTATGCTTGTGCCAAGCTTAGGATTAATGTCATTGTTAGTAGGTGTCATCTAGTTGTTTAGACCCACAGTGACCTTCGGCAAACAGAATGAAACACTTCCCAGTTTAATGACTGATGCTTTTTTCTTGAAAATTTGCCTAATTCAAAGTGTGTATGTGTTTCTTTGTTGGCATCTTTTCACAGGGCTGACAGAATAAGCAAAGCGCTGACCATCCCAGGAAGCCTGGATATTGCTGTTGACAGTGTCCCTTTGGAGCACCCAAGTACGATGAAAATGCTGTCGTGGTTCGGTTGTAGAGTTCTGAGAATATAAAGGGTTCTTTGGGGTTGGCTAAAAGTCCCTAAACCACGCTCACTACTCCCAAGTCAATTCTGGCTCATAGCAACCCAATAGGACAGGGTAGAACTGCCCATGTGACTTTCTGAGCCTGCAAGTCTTTATTGGAGTTAAAAGCCTCATCTTTGTCCCAAGAAGCAACTTGGGGCTAATAGTCCAGGGCGTAACCCTAGGGCCACTAGGCCCTCCTTTGGTTGGTTACAGAAGTATTTTTTCCAAATAGATAAAGAATTCATTATCTTCTAGAAATGCAAGGCTCCATATTTCTCCATTAAGAGAGGCTCTGAGTGGGACAAGAACTATGTCCAGGGTAACGTACCCTTGATCTGCTTTGCACGATGTTCTAACAAGGTGTTAAGTCAAATCAATTAATCCTCAAAACCCCAGAGGCTTGCAAAGGAGTAAAATCAGGTTCAGATGGTTTAATGAACCAGTGTCCTTACTGGCAGAACTTAAATTCTATCCAGTTTCTCTGACTCAAAATGCACTGTACTGCCAGTAAAGGGTTACTCTGTACAAGGCTTCGCCACCCCTGTGGTCATGCGATAGCTCTAAATGGACTCTGTTCAAACCCTGCCATTCCACAGAGACTTTGCATCTTTGTCAAATGATGGGGCTGCTTCACAAAGCTCAGGGGGAAATTCAATTGAAAGACCATGGCATTTTCCTACACGTTTTTGAAACTTCATAGGGACAAACATCTTGTTCATATCAGTAGAAGATTAAACACTGCAGATGGAACATTTGTTAAGATAATTTTAGATTTTTGCAAAAAGTGAGATTGCTTCTAGTTTGTCTTGTTTTGCTTTGCTGCTTCCGATGAGGCCTCCTGCCGACCTTGGCAAGGCTACAAGTAGAAGCGTCCAGCAATGAACTGCCAGGAGGGAGGAGATTATCATTGCCGGGGATTGGCATTACAAGTGGGATTCTTCAGTTTTCTATTCCTGCCGTTTTTCCATGAATCATTTTTATATGAAATACAATAAGTGTTCTCATGTAAACCATGTCTCCAAATCACTTTTCTATTCATCGGCATGG